TATACATTCGAACTGGGTACCCTAGGATACAAGCAATACGAAATGTCACAGACAGAGCCTGCTCAGTTTGAAATTAGCTATGCAACGGCTCGGTAAACACGATTCTGCGGTAACGAATGCACACGCAACAATAGAAGAACGCTTGTACACTGTGTTTTATACGCGGTCGGTGTCCTATCAGATACTCAACATGCAGTGGAAGGAAAGCAGACGATTGGTTCTTTCTGATTCTGGCAGTTCAGTGATCTCGTTTGGAGGCGGGGTCCAACACCTCCGCGAGTCGTGGGAGGCGACGAAAAGGGAACCCAGTTCCTGGGAGTATAACCGGGCCACCCTATTCCTGGGCGACCTAAATACGAGGACCGGGCCCTCCAGGTCGGCGGAGCCTGGAATCTCAGACAGAGAGCTGTGGTCGTGAGTCCCGCTGGTCTCGGACCTGAAAATAACTGCACTGGTGAGGACCAGCAGCAATTGTAAACGACACGTCTATCTTCTCATCGGACAGGATGTTATATAAGGACTATGACCGCAAGTGTTCAGTTGAAAAAAAATTCTGGTCGTGAGTCTCAAGGAGCTTGGCGCCAAGACGAACTGATTGGCCGCAAACCGCCAGTCGTAAAGTAACTCTGACTCCGACAGGAAAGTGGACGATTTTTGTTTTGCTAGTGGGGTGGGACTAAGTCCCTTGTACGAGTACTGCGGCCACTTCTGGCCTATTGTACCAGCCCCAGAGGATAGGTGAGGGTAATTGTGGAGCACTTGGAAAAAAACCTTCCCCAGCGCCACTTTGTCCACCATAAATCCCACTTGACCAGACCCGGAATCGAACCCGGGCTGCCGCGGTGGGAAGCCAGCGACTAACCGCTTGAGCTATGGCGCGGCCCAAAGTGGACTATTAGTTCTTCCCAGTGTTTGTTGTTTTTCCTTGTTCTTGGTAGTGTTGTTTTGTCTGAGCCGTTCTGAACAGAATGCACAGCGGATTTGTTCCGAGTCCCCTGTGCGTCACCCTCTCTCCCTCCCACAATATTTCTACAGCCACTGCCCCGCTTCACACATGCTTCACTGCCCTTTATGAACTTAAAAGGTTCATCACCGCATGCAGAAAACTGTATGTCCGTAGAGTTCTTCTCGGCTGTCAGTTGCCTGGAGAACAGCTGCAGTATCTGCCTAACACAAGGCCAGTTAACCTTCTTGCACTCAGGACACGCCAACCAACAAAGCAAGGAGCGGAGTTTCGTATATAAAATGTGCATTTTCATCCTAAGCCAGTTGGAGACAGTTAGATTCTTCTCAGTATTATCTTCACATTTACGTCTAGGTCTTTCAAGTGACCTCTTCCCTAAAGTTCTTCCTACAAACACTTTGTACGCTTCCCCTAATTAAACCAAACAACAAACAAGGTAGGAAATGCAATAGTCTATATTTTTACCGACAAAGAATTATGACCGAATCTATTTTAATCCCCGTTATCTTTCCCGATGTATCGAAGCACTGCTAATTCGTTCTAACGATACTGTTTGTCAGCAGCGATATTTGTGTGGGACAGGGAACATTGCACCCTGTCACCAAGGTGGCGCGTGAACAAAATACTTCACTGGGAGACTCACGTAATGGGCGTTATCACCAGCTATTTTTAACGAATGTTGAGCATCAACAAACCGAAGGTTGTCTGTGTATCTGTGGGAATGTGTAACTTCGACATAGCGCAGGGCACCCCGCATCTCCGGGGCATGACGTCATACATTGTCTGTTTCCATGCCTCCCCAATTAAGGGGAGTCGGGATAGCAACGGGCTACGGGCTGGATGGACCGGGTTCGATTCCTGGTAGAGTAGGATTTCTCACTTCTCCGCAGCGTCCAGGCCGGTTCTGGGGCCCCCTCAGCCTCTTATCCAATGGGTACTGGGGGCTCTTTCCCAGGGGCTAAAGCGTCCGGGGCGCGAAGCTGACCACTCACCTCAATCTAGTGCCTAGAACAAGAATGGTGGAGCTATACCTCCATTTCTCCAAATGTCTTCATGGCGTAGTGCTTAACTAATTAAGCACGAGGACAGTTTACCTTTTTCTCATGATAAGAGCAAGAAAGGCATACTTTTGGCTTGGTCTCAGACATTAAAGGAGGAACATAGTCTGAGGGTGTTTGAGAACAGGGTGTTGAGAATATTTGGACCGAATAGAGATGAAGTGACAGGAGGTTGGAGAAAACTTCGTAATAAGGAGCTTCATAACTTGTACTCTTCGCCAAGTATAATTAGAATGATCATGTCAAGGAAGATGAGGTGGGCATAGCATATAACACGAATGAGGGAGAAGAGGAATGCATATAGGATATTGGTGGGAAAGCCAGAAGTAAAGAGACCACTGGGAAGACCAAGACGTAGGTGGTTGAACAATACTAAAATGGATCTTAGGGACATAGGATTGGATGGTATGGATTGGATTGTTCTGGGTCAGGATAGGGACCAGTGGAGGGCTCTTGTGAACACGGTAATGAACCTTAGGGTTCCATAAAATGCTGGGAAGTTCTTGAGTAGCTGCACAATTGGCAGCTTCGCAAGAAGGGCTTAGCTCCATGAGTGAAGCGCAAGAAAGGTAAAAGGTGAAGCTGTCCCTGTAACAGGCCGTGGAGGTCCATAGGGTTGTCAGACGTCGAGGCTCACAGATGGCGGTGAGCTTGTCAGCCTTACGCGCCGGCCGCCTTTTACCCCCAGGAAGATTCCTCGTACTTATTTCTGTTAGAGGCTGGGAAGACCTCAGGACTATAGTGCTGCTGGAAGGGTTAGGTCAATTGAAAAATTCAGTGACATCTAGAATCGAATCAACGACCTTCCGGCTTGTAGCATAGTACCTCAACCAAAGAGTTCGAGTTTTAATTATTGCCATGTCTTCGGTGTCACTTGTGTATGACCCGTGACTTGGTGCGGACGGAACGTTCTCCCAGGGATGGATGAAGCGGGCAGAATGTTACCTTCACAGCATATTACTTAATACACAGGGACATCTTTACTTTTTATTTTACAGTTTGAAACAAAATACGAAAATCCCCTCAACTCCAAATTAGATTAGAAAGCTAGTTTATACACCAATAAACCTTCGACGACGCAGCTGAATTTGTACACCGAACTGATATGTTACAGCTTTTCAGTTTATGCTTATTCAATGGACATCAAAGAAAAACATGAGTTGCGACAAGAAAGAAAACGTCTGATGTGTATTCCACCATAAGTAAAGAGATCCTTCAAGAACATTTTGTTTTCGAGCATTATAACAGATACAGTTCGAAAGATATCCCAGTGGATGTTACGTCGCGTCTGATGCTGCATGGAAACATATATCGTTGAAAGATTAAGAACACTTTGTATGTATGCAGGAACGAACCGTGTCAATATACTTAATTTGAATTCTGAGACGTGTGCTGTACTGTGTCTCCATCATCTCTGAGGATAGTCGTCTTCAGATAGTGACGTGCTTCGTTACGTCACAGTTAGTGGACTGTATTCTCTGAGGATAGTCGTCTTGAGATATTGACGTGCATCATTACGTCACAGTTACTGGACTGTATTCTCAGATACAATTAGAACTAAAATCGCTGTGCTGAAGGTCTCGTTGAACACACAGGGACTTTTCTTCCGTAAGATTGTCTACTCAAGGTGTGACGTACCCTCTGAGATGTTTTAGACAAAGCATAACCTCATTATAATATAGCACAAGGTCTTACACCACATTCTGTTTTCCTCTCATGTAGTCGATGTACACGTTGTTTTTTGTTTCTTCTTATATTGCGTACAGGGTGGGGCCCGTGGCTTCTTTAACGGCGTAAGTTAGGTAGAAAATAGTTGTGAATGGGGAAGTATGTAGAAGGAAGCGGTAGTGACCTATTTTAAGGAGATGTTCCTGAATTTATCTGGAGGAACTAAAGAAAAGTGCAGAATGATGAGGGCGGGGAGCACACGATGGCCTAATTGGTTGAGGAACTATGCTACAAGCCAAAAGTTCGTGGGTTCGATTCCCGATGAGGGTATTGGGTTTTTCAATTGTCCAAATCCTTCTAGCCGCACTATGGCCCTGGGGTCGACTCAGCCTCTAACAGAAATGAGTACCAGGAATCTTCCTGGGTGTAAAGGGCGACCTGTGCGTAAGGCTGACAACCTCACCGCCATCTGCGAGCGATTGTCTAGAAAATGAAGGAGCCTCGACGTCTCACGACCAAATGGACCTCCATGGCCTGTTGCAGGGACAACTTTACCTTTTTTATTTTTACGATAAGGGTCAACCTGAGGGCCACAATTCGAACACGGACCTTGGGCTAAGAAGTAAGATTTCTAATAGTTGGATTGTCATGTTCTGTGTTCAGGCTTTTTTACGTATGTCTTGTTTGTATCGCAGCGGACATGTTGGCTATCTAACGATGTTGTTTCACTTAGAGGTGACGTAATGTTGAATGATGTAAAATAAAGAATTGTATTCACAGTTGAGTAGATACTTTAAAAGTTACGTGGAATTTAGATGGAAGTGTGATTAGAACAAGAGGAACTTTCAGACTGTTGAGGGCAGCTGGAGAGACTGAACCCACGCAAGAACATCTTCAAGTTTGGCTTGAGGTGGGTGAAGGATCGCCTGGATTTCAGTTTCTGACAGAGGAAAGAATTGCTGCAGCGATATTTTTTGTTCATTTTCATCAGCCACCACCAGTATTATTACATTTTCTATTTATTTATTTTCTAAATTTTTTCCTCCTTTAGGGGTATCTTTTGCTTAATTAATCTGGATTATCGCTTGATCCGGATTAGCTAGGGTTTACTGTGTATTCTGAACATTTGTGTCACTGAAAAGCTGCCTGTGATTAATTGGGTTGTCGGCAGTTGGTGGAACAGGTTTCGCTAATCATTCTAGAAAATTCAGTCGTATTTAAGAGAGATATCTCGTGTGTAGCTGTGAAAAGGATGAGGAATCTGTGTGCTTGTGTGAAAATTTCGGGGCTAAAGCGAATTTCTGTTGCAGGTTCTCCAGTACAACATGACCGGTGGGAAGAAGTATCGTGGCCTAGCAGTCGTCCAGTCCTACCGGCTCCTAGCAAGGAACCATGAACCAACCCCTGAGGACATCCGTCTGGCAATAATCATGGGCTGGTGTCTCGAAATGGTAAAACTGGAAATTACTATGGTCGATTTCTAAAAATCAGGCCCATTTACGTGAATACGGTGCGAATTACCTTATAGACTTACACCCTGTTTCTGAACAGTACGAATGACTATGCATGAAGGAGATTCGGTGTCACGACTGAGCATCATCATCATCAGCTATAAATCGTGCATAGATTCGTAGAAAAGCTGTTGAAACTCTATAAAACAAACAAACGAACAGAAAAATATCTCCCTTTATTGCCAATGTGACTGGCCACACAGACTTCCGTACGCTACGTACACTATGTTCCCTATGTTAGCTGCGTCGCAGAGTGTACACAGAGTACGTAGCGGAGCGCTCCGTGTGTCCGAACTTTAAGGGCGAGTTCATGACAAAACAATAATGAATCATCTAGTTACGTAAAAGCAGGGCATTTCTTGACTGGCCAAATAGTGACCACTTCATCTTCTCATGCAGCATGACGTTGGCTGGTTAGTTACATGAGTTGCTGCACCAGGCTGCTCTGTAATGAAGTGTCATACATTTCTGTGAAACTGACATGCAAACGTATTCTTGGTCGTTATTAAATCAGAAGCTCGTGCACTTAATAAGAGACACTTAGGCTGGGGCCACACGAGCGCACAAAATCGTCCGTTGTAGAAATAAACAAGGGAGGCGAATGCTACGCTTTGTTCTGGCTCCATTGCAGACAAAAAACTACGCACCGCATTCTGCAACTGTGTGGTGTCCTCAGCAACGTCCGTCATAAAGTACGTTCGTTGTAACGGACGTGCTTCGTGCGCTCGTGTTGCCCCAGCCTAAAGGGACTGTGGGACACGCCTTATCCAGGCAGGTTATCTCAGGCAACGTTTTCTACTGATAAGGTTACGTCAGAGACTAGCTTAACGTTGGCTTTCAACAGCGATTTGTATTTTTCGCCCATAAAACTTCATAAAGAACCATTTTTATTTTGCTTATCAAGTAAGCAGGCTTTGCTAACATTTGCACAATACGCGCTGACTTGAAGAGACGTTCTGTTTAACTGAACTTGAAATCTGAACGCTGTGAACTTCCGTTAGAACCTCTCCGCATTGTAAAGAAGCCGTATAATTATCTCCATGGAGCTGAGCTGCTCTGGTGCTGTGACCTCAGTAACGCCGTCGTTCACCAAGGGGGGCAGAAACCGATTCAAAAAGGAAAATCCGTACTCTGACGCAGCTTGTCTGTGCAGACTGCAGTTTGCTATCCATATCCCGAATGGGATTCGAACTAGCGATTTCATTGTTTAGGCGCATGACCACCTTGTTTGTAATGACTTACCAATTGAATTAATGTTTTTGAAATACTCCAAGTGCCTCAAATTTTCAAACGCACAAGAGAGCGTCAGATGTTCTGCACAAACAATTGCACATTTTAACTTCATTCTATTGATATATTTTCTTACACAGATAACAGTTTACAAAAAATGTTTATTAGATAAACCCGAAAACAAAAATTCCGACATTTCAGTTCAGTTTACACCCCGCCTTATCCCAAACTTTTCTCGCGTACCCCTAAGGGTATGCTTTGGCACCGGTTGAGAAACACTTTATTATGTGACTGAAGGGCAGAGCCGTACCCCTACCTACGACTTCTCGGACTTGCCATCCCATTACATTAACAACAATTAGACTTACGCTCCGAATTATCGGACTTAGACTCGATACAAATTTCGGACTTACGCCATGTTGCAATGCTCTGGTGATTAGAATCGTGCCTCTTAAGGGTCCATAGTAAAATATCAATTACTTCACATATTTTAGTAGTTTTAATGCTTAATTCCATGTTATTTGGCGTCCTTTATTGGTTTCATAATACAAACAATAGAAATGTAACCCACTGAGGACTGCAATATGGAGAAATGGGTCTGTGCCTGCAGGAATAGGACTTATACAACCTGGGCTATAACGAACTCGACTGACGGCCCATTTCTGGCCGCAGTGTAACGAAAGTGGCACGCGGTAGCGTAGTTGGTTGAGGCACAATGCTACAAGCCGGAAGGTCGCGGGTTCGAGTCTCGATGAGGTGGATTTCTTCTATTTACCTAATCCTTCCAGCCGCACTATGGCCCTTGAGTCGACTCGACCCCTATCAGAAATGAGTACTAGGAATCTTCTTGCGAGGTAAAGGGCGGCCGGCGCCTAAGGCTGACAGCCTCACCGCCACCTGTGAGCCGATTGTTTAGAGAAAATGTGGGAGCCACGGCGTCTCACAACTCTGTGGGCCTCGATGGCCTGGTACAGGGATAGCTTCACTTTCTTTTGCACTCCGAGGTGACAAGGAACTAAGCTTGTCTTCAGCCTGCATGGATGCTCTTCCGCGCTGTTATCCACACACCCGCTCTCGTTAGACGCTGCCCACATAAGAAGCTGTTGCAAGGCTGAGTCATGCCAGCCCAACAAGCGGTTGGTTTTCCATTGTCCACGTGACTGCTGAATGATACAGCTCAGAAAACAGGAAACATATGTTGAATTCTGTTGAATTCCAGGTTGTTCACGTGATTGCTGAATGATACGAGTTAACAAAACGTGAAACATGAGTTGAATTTCCATTATCACTTCAAAGGGAAGTTCAGCCTCGTTCATCTGATCGAACACCCCTCCTCTTCTCCCCGATTTGTCTTCTCTGACGGCTATTACTGAATGATACGAGTTAACAAAACGTGAAACATGAGTTGAATTTCCATTATCACTTCAAAGGGAAGTTCAGCCTCGTTCATCTGATCGAACACCCCTCCTCTTCTCCCCGATTTGTCTTCTCTTACGGCTATTACTAAATGATACGAGTTAAGAAAAAGTGAAGCACTAGTTGAATCGAATGGACATCTCGAGCGTTGCCTGTTCGCTGATGTCGACTCTAGAAATCGCTAGTTAGAACAACGAGGGATCACGACCATTGAAAAGAAATTAAGTATTCCGCAAGTCATGGATTCCAAATCGTCCCAAAGGCCGGATGAAGTGATCGTGGTTTACATAGTTTTCTCAGTCCCTCCAGGTAAATTCTGGGGTAGGAGTATTATAATAAGCCACAGCCGCTTTCTTTCTAACAGTACCAATTCATGATTTACGGCCATCTTCCGTTTCACGCTGTATGATCTGTTCACCTGACAGTGATCTCTAAGCAAGGAATGGAATCGAAAGCCACTCGAAGGCCCACAGTGACACTTTATGATCTCCCGCAGCTGCACACGTCACTGTTGATGACCCAGGATACGGTGGAGCAGGCTGACACGCGGAGGGGCAAGCCTTGCTGGTATCTTGCATCTGACCTGGTGTCGAATGCCGGTGTTGCCTTGAACGATGCCTCATTACTGGAAACTGGCATTTACCAACTCCTGAAAATCCATTTCGAGGACAAACCTTACTACGTCGACGTTCTGGAACTATTCCATGACGTAAGTGAGAATTCTTTGTTCTGTTCACAGTAACAAATAATATTTATAATATTTTAAGATTCAGTTATGAAGATTGAGATTTTCTGCACTGATTATTCACTTAACGACTTATGCATATGTTGAGGATGGCCTTGTAAGACCGAAACCTGCTCTCTTAATAACGAGAACAACTGAAAGAAGTATGTACAACAGTGAAGTAATGGCCACACTTACGAAAGTAGCATTAATAAGACTGAAACAGACAACTAAGTAACTGCAGATTGAAGTTTTCTGTGGTTTTCCTCAGTCTCCTGAGACAAATTCTGTCATACCACCATGAAATAGTTCACTTTGTTTTGTGTGTGTGTATATGTACAGGTAAGCCACAAGGCCATCATGGGGCAGGTGATGGATACAGAGACACGAGCCGATCGCTCGTTGCAGCAGTTCACCATGGAGCGTTACAGGACCATCACGAAGTACAGAACTGCGTACCACACCTTCCAGATGCCCGTGTCACTTGCCCTCTACATGGTAAGACTAGAACTTCTCCGAATGTTGTTGTCGACCCTGAAATCAGAACTAAAACTTTGAATGAAAAGCAACTATGGGCATTGCCTTAGCGTTTTGAAAGCCCCCCCCCCCAAGTCTCAGCGGTATTACTGCCAGTCGAAGTTACGTCCCCCATTTCTGTTTACGTCTGTTGGCGCAGAAGTCCCATTTGCTTCTCATGTTGCGTTACGTGAAACTCGTAATGCAGTTACATTTCTTCAGCCAGATGATGCACAGAGCAACTGAAATGCGTAACGGGTTCGCTGCGTGCCGTAGTAATAGTAGTATTCTGGTAAAAGAGACAAAGCTGTCCCTGTAACATGCCGTGGAGGTCCATAGGGTTGTGAGACGTCGAGGCTCCCACATTTTCTGGACAGTCGGCTCATAGATGAGGGTGACGTCAGCCTTACGCGCCGGCTGCCCTTTACCTCCCCAGGAAGATTCCTGGTACTCATTTCTGTTAGAGGCTGAGTTGATCCCAGGGCCATAGTGCGGCTGGAAGGATTTGGACAATTTAAAAATCCAATGACCTCATCTGGAAGGTGGTTATTAACTTTTTCGAACAACGTACTGCATCCATCTTCAGAGTAAACATTTGTACTGAAATTGAGCTTCTTACAGCGGTGACTATGAAAAAGCAGTAGCTTTTGAGATGTGATGGCCGTATAGTCCGTTAGAAATCTACAGATTTTTCGGACGAACGCATTCCATTCAACAAGAGTAAGCCAAGCAGGCGTCAAGAAGAGCCTTCTCTTGCTGGTTTCTCGCTTGGCCTTTACCCTTCTATCCTGAAGATGAAGGCAGTATGTTCCTCCGAAATGCACCGAACTATACGGCGTCATTTCGCAGAATATAGTACCCGTTTACCCTGAAAATGGAGGTTTTATGTTCCTCCGAAAAGTTGGTAACCACCTGCTAGGCTGCACTGCGTCATAACATAAGAAAGACTCACAGAGATATTGGGTTTTCGGACTTTATCCATCGTCCTGGTTTTTAAGATAACAAATAAAAACACGACGTTTCGGAAACTGGATCTGTTTCCGTCCTCAGGTGAGGGGAAAAACACCTATTCTGTTGGGTCCCTTAGAAAGAGGTAGCCTCAATCACTGGAATAGGTGTTTTTCCCTCACCTGAGGACGGAAACAGATCCAGTTTCCGAAACGTCGTATTTTTCTTAGTTATCTTAAAAACCAGGACGATGAATAAAGTCCGAAAACCCAATATCTCTGTGTGTTATACATGATCGTCAGAATCCTATAGTAACTATAAGAAAGACAGTATGAATCTTCACCGCAGCGAAACCCCCCAGTTGTAGCTGATATTTTATTTGTTTGTACTAACGTTTTAAATTTTAGAATTATGGCGATTGTGATGGTAACAGTAAAAATAACAACAGAAATTTCCTTCGCATAATCACTGCCTTGCTCGCTGATCATATCAGCGTTCCATGGTGCACTGACAAACTCACGTGTCACGAGCAGACTCAGTTTTCCTGCGTTCAAGCGCTGTTAGGATAGTGCCTGTTGCTAACAGAGTGGCTTCATGTGATTGTTTTGAAACACGAACAAGACAAATGCGCTGAATCAAAGACGGAAAATTGTTTCTAACCTGTTTAACTACTGTAAGATAGAGAAAACTTGGATTGCGAGTGAAAAGGCTGTTGATGCAGACGTTTCGAAGCTTCATATAGGCCTAAGTGATAATGTTTGCGCAATAAACTGGCTGAGTTATGTTATTTCAACTTTCGCCTCAAGTTAAGACCTCATGCTGCGATAAGATTAGACAGACCTGTACCCAAAACTCGTCCCTGTGCAACTTGGTAATGCAGCAAGCTGCTTGAGCGGCTTACGAACGTTGCACCGTTGCAACCGAATAACCGAATAACCCGCGTATATTAATCTGATTCCGGGAGAATGATCCAACTTGGATGCAAGAAGAACGTTCTGAGATCCGCGCTCTTTCTGTGTCAGAATTTTAGTTGTCCCGGGGGCGTCTTTGAAGATTACTCTGTTCTGTGATGTGACGCCACGTAGTCTGGTAAATAGTTGCCAGCCTTTCAGAGGAACCTACCGCCTCCGAAACGTCATGATGATCTACCGCAGAGTACGGCGTCACATTCCAGAAGACTGTTCTCTCTCCAACCATTGTAACTTGTTCCACAGTAAAGTCCAGTGGTTACTATATCCACCGCTTTCTGTGACACACTAAAACTCTGCATTCTGCCCACAGAGTGTATTTGTGTGTTTCTTGTGGTTCTCGGAGTAAACAGCGACTGTTTACCCAAACAGCTTTAACCGGTTGGCCTTGGTTAGCGGAGATGTAATGTGTTTCCTGTGAGGTAAGAATTGAAGTCAGAGCGAATTGTACTGAATCCTGTTATTTATTCCAGGCCGGCATCCGAGATGTGGAAACCCATCGTCAAGCTAAGACGATCCTCATGGAAATGGGGCAGTTCTACCAAGTGCTGGTAAGTATGTATTGTTAATAAAATAAGCACGGAAGGTTGGATCGACATCCACAAAACCTGCACACTCAGCTGTGGCCGGATGGGACCCCAGCCCCCTCCACTCTTTCCCTGTGCCTAGTTGATCGCCAGCCTCCATAACACGAACACAGTCATACAATACATACAAGGAGGAGAGTACATGTACAAGACTCCATGTTTCCTCGTCTGTCGTTATTTGTAGGTCCTGATTCGGAGTTAAAATTGTAGGACTTTTTCAGAATGAAAACCAATAGGGCTCTGGCCCCATTACTGTACATGGCCCAGGAACAGAAACATGACAATTCACAGGGAGCACTGCCGTATACTAGCTGACTAACTTCATGGAGCTGAAGCCTTCTTGAGAATCCGCCAGTTATGCAACTACTCGAGAACTTCCCAGACGTTTAGGGAGTCCGACTGTTCGTTAAAGTGTTCACAGTAACGCATAGCTCGTCACTATACTGACTGAGGTATTCCCGACTCTGGTCTAAGTCTAAACGAGATACAATGCGGAGCTGCACCGTAAGGAGACAAGGTGTGAAGGGTTGCACTGACCCAGGATCGATTCAAATATCTGTCGTTTGAGAACGCGATGATGAACCTTCCGCTTACGCAACAGTAGTGAAAAATCAAATACCGCTTCCCCTGCTACTTGAGAACGAACGGCTCATTTTGGTCTGTGGCTCATGTAAACGCCAAGTTGGAACATGTCCAAACGTGATGGGTACATGAATTTGCCTGACTCAACACACCAGCTACACGCTGCGGCCATTCCGGGAATTAGTTATCACGCCTAGTATTTTCCTGTCCACGAATAATTTCACCCTTCCCCTCATCCCCGCGGGTATTCGTGGCATATGTACAGTGTATGACAAAATGTTCTGATGGTGAAAGACATCCATGTGGAGGTTCTGGTAGAGTTACACGTTTTCAGCGCCCCAGATCATGAGCAAGTGGGTTTGGAATGCTGTCCGTCTGCCTGCCTGTTTATCTCCTTTGATGTACGGATCTGAGCGGTTGGACGGATTTTATTTTAGGAAGTGTAATTAACAGTGCTAGAAGTACAGACGCTTGAGGAAGCTGTTTCCGTTGCCTTGGGACGCCAGAACTACCTTTCCCAGCAGCGATGCTCGCAGGAACAAGTGCAAGAAATGGCGTTGCAATTCTCGCTCTTATAAACACTTGTTACCTGTGCCCGGGCTCCTCAACTGGTGTGCAGCATCTTCCTACTTCTCAAGTTGTTACGGACATATAAAAAGTAAGTAAAAAAGTGAAGCTATCCATGTAACAGGCTGTGGAGGCCTAGTTGCGAGATGTTGAGGTGCCCACATTTACTAGACAATCGGCTCATAGATGGCGGCAAGGTTGTCAGCCCCACGCGCCGGCCCCCCTTTACCCACAACAATATTCCTGGTACTCATTTCTGTTAGACGCTGAGTCGAACCCAGGACCATAGTGCGGCTGGAAAGATTAGATATATTGAAAAAAATCCACCTCATCGGGATTCAATCCCGCGACCTTCCGGCTTGTAGCATAGTGCCTCAACCACCTACGCTACCGCGTGCCCCCGTTACTGACATATACTCGTACCTTTGCGAAATTACTATTGACCAGCTCCTCGTGTGTAAAAGCAAAGTGGTCCCTGTGCTTAACTTCACTCCTTGGCCGCTTTACCCCCGGTACCACATTGGATAGGAGGCTTGGTGGGCCCCAGAACCGGTCTGGACGACATGGAGGGGAGAAATGCCGGGACCTGAACTTCGACCCCTCCGCTGTGGATCCCGTAAAATTGCTTATGACGACACACGGAGCCTTCAGAATAGCTGAAGCACGTGGACAGGACATGCTCAGCTCTCGCCTGCAGTATCAGTGTTTGTGATCTGGGTACAGCACCGCGCGATAATAGGCACAACTCAATCACAATGAAGGCCTGTACAGGCAGTCACGAAAGATGAGCAACAGAAAATTCGATGAGTACCCTCTTCTTGCATGTCGACGCCATGTAGTTTGGTACAAGTTTATCAGTGTTTCGGAGGAACGTACTGTCTCCATCTTCAGCATGTAGGAGTAAGCTAAGCCTAGTTTGCTTATTTGCTAGGCTTACACTTTGAAGCGACTGAGAAAACAACGAAATACATGGGAGAGGTTATCCTATGCCCCGGCCGAGATTGGACCCGAGCACCACCTAAGTACAAGTCATGACAGTTGGCGCCATGCCAACGCCTTTATTCTTGACTACGACAGTGCATTCACACAACCCGTGAACTCCACGTCATCCTTCCGAGCCACCTTCCCATAGCTTGTGAGATTAAGAAAGCATTGACAAGTAAGAGAGGGATCAGGCAAGAGATACGGAGTGATTTCAGTCTGATCTTTTCGAATGAGAGAACTTTTGTTTCAGGCTGACTTCCTCAACTGTTACGGCGACCCGGAGCTCACCGGCCGTGTCGGGACAGACATCGAGAACGGCAAATGCACGTGGCTGTCCGTGGTAGCATTGCAGAGAGCTTCAGATCCTCAGCTACAGGTCCTGCAGGTGCGATTTCCGTGTGTAGACGAACTCTACCGTCATTTATGTTGAAGTTGTGTCTGACTTCCTTCCACACGTAACAGCTCCCAAAGTACTGAAAAGTTTTCGCTAAATTTTGGCACTGGTCGAGAGATGTTAGTGAGAGCACCGGTGTGTGAGATAGGAGACCAGCTGCCAGAAATGGAAAGAACGGCGCTTTTTAAATGCAAGCTAAATTTGTGAAATAATTTGTAAGTACTCGCAGTAAATTGCAGAGGAATTATGAAAGCAAAATTCAGTGAGGAGGAATATGCATTTTGTTGTGGTAGATCCGCGGCAAATTTGACCGTTGCAGTGAGGCAACTAACTGAGAAATACCAGGAATCGGGCAAGAATGTGGTAATGGTATTTATGATGAAGAGCCGGTCACGGTAGCCGAGCGGTCTAAGGCATGTACTGTCTTCGCTCGCTTGGAAACCGGGATCGTGGGTTCGAATCCCACTCAGGGCATGGATGTTTAGTTTGTGTGTGTGCGTTTTTCTGTGCTTGTGTACAGGCAGAGGCCTTGCGACGAGATGATCACCCGCCCAAGGAGTCCTACCGAATGTGTAAGATCTAGAAAAACCGAAGTGAACGGAGAAGTTCATGGAGGTAGGGCTAGGCCCACTGGGGCTGTAGTGCCAAGGAGGGGGGGAAAGTTATGATGAAGAAGAAGTCGAACGAAAAACCCGCTAAGTGAATTTAATTTTCATTGGATTTTCTGATGTAACCTCTGCTTTACGTGAAATTCAAAATTCCTACGTAATCAATAATGCAGTAGTGTTTTATTTCTTGCTATATCCCACGTAAGTGCCATCAGTTCTCACAACGTATCGAAAGATTACATTTTGGCCCTTCTGACTCGCCACACTTCGGACGTGATCTGTATTTATGTCACAAACCGTCTGCTGAAAAACGTGTGGAGTAAATTTAGGATCCATGTCTGAGGGCGAGAACACACGTCTTATGCAGCCTATTTGGTACATCAGTTTAGCATTGCTTTGCTTATTTACAGGAATGCTATGGCTCGAAACATCCAGAAAAGGTTGCCAAAGTGAAGCAACTATATAACATCCTGGGTCTGCCGTCAACATACAAGATATATGAAGATCAGACATATGCCTTGCTGTGCACGCAGATACAACAGATCACAAGGGGACTGCCCCATAAGCTGTTCTTTAAATTTCTTCAGAAAGTGTATGTAAAGGATGCCTACATCAGCAGACCCATACGCTGAGCCCCAGTGTTGCCTTTCTGACAACTACTGCAGAAGGAAAAACAATTATTGCATGTCTGCTATGAGAACCTCTATTTCGAAGCATGTCAGGTACATCGCGTTCATAATCATACCACAAATGTTATCATGCTCATAATAGTAATTCTTGCTTGCTTGTGAGTAGTAGTGGTAGTAACAGAGCTCTGACCGAAGGGTACAATGGCCCATTTCATTCGGTAGCTAGAAGAATGAAGTCCTGTCCTCGTAGAGGAGTGTCGCAGGAGGTTCGTGAGGTGAGAATTGACGACCGCGATGTTCCTTCGACTATTTAAGACGCCAAATAATATAGTAATTACAATAAAAGCCGGCATCCCACCAAGGCTACTCGGGCTCGATCGCAGGTCAGGTCGTGTGGGGTTTATTATGGAATAAGTGACATTGAAGCGGGCTTTCTCCAAATATTTCGCTTTAACATTAAAAAATATAAATACTGCACTAAATAATAAATTCACATTATAACTGGGCTTACTGTTTACTACGCCATGTAGGCACATCGGGGCCCGTTTGTAATCACGAATGAGAAAGCATTTGAAATATATTACCAACTTATCCCCACGACGTATTTCTTTAAAGTTATCAAAAACTTTCAAGTCCCATGTTAGACTCCATCATTTATTGTAACGAGAACAGAACTCGGGGGTGGGGAACTTCAGAA